GTGTGTGTGTGTGTGTGTGTGTGTGTGTGTGTGTGTGTGTGTGTGTGTGTGTCCCGGAGTGAGAAAAAAAATCATTTCAAAACCCACACTTCTTTTTTTTTTTTTTTAAACCTCCTGAAGCACTCTGACATTAGGGATGGAAAATCACGTTGCAAAAAAGGACAGGTCTCTGCAGCAGTACTCTTGGGGACTTCAGAAGCTCTGTCCTTGTTACTCATGCCCATATACCTACAAACCATGGTGTTAGACTTAGACTTTGGAAGCCAATGTACTGCCACATAGAATTAAAATTTAAGAAGTCTTTCCATAGAGGCATGGCTGGGTGGGGGAGGAATGCCTATAAACCTAATTTGAAATATGACAAGTGATTTTATCTCCCACACAGGGAATGCTGCAGTTCAGGTGGCAGCCCTCCATCTGCAGCCCCTCCTTCATCAGTCTTTTTCCAGAGCACAACATCCACTGGTCTCTAGTCCTTTGTTAGCTGATACTCACTAATGATTTTCTAGAATCTGCAGTATGTTTCTGTTCTCCACATCACGTCTTAGCAATGAATACCACGGAAGATTGTCTCATATATCGCCCCCAAGATCAGAATCTATGATGCAGTCAGCATTTCTCTGACACTTGCTGCAGCATCTTTACTTGAACCTACCATTCTGAATACATGCTACACTGCTTGACAGCTACTAAGCCCAGCATAGACACCATCTGTATGCTCTAGAATGGGAGAAACCCAGGGAAGAGGGGAAGCTGAGTCCTTCAACTTTCTTATTCAGAAGGTGTCTTTGCAATAAACTCACCTTATGTTCCCACCTGCTTCCCCCTCCTTGGGAGTTTTCTCCTCTCTCAGATCCCATTTTCAAGCAAGCTGTGTTAAGCCTTGTGTGTTCATAACTGAAACCCACAAGTGTCTCAACTAATCAGTTGGTAAGCCCAGGTCACTTCTTCAGGCTTTTATACCCTGGTGAAAACAACACAAAATCCTTAGAAGGAACTGGTGTTTAATGTTTAATGTTCCTATTACAAAGCTTCACTATGCAGTTAGAAAAGCTGAAGGCTGTGAAGTCACAGAATTAGATGGCCTCTCAGGTTTTGACACAAATGATTTTATCATCAAGCAGGACAGCACTAGGAGAAAACTTGGTGTTATCATTTTATGTGTATTCCATAAACTCTTGGTTATAATTCTATCCTATGCCCAGTCATGATGTGTTTAAAATTTATGGTGTGATCTCTTGCTGCAAGATCATTTGGGTGTTGTTTGCATACAGCTTTTGCATCACTAGGGTAGGTTACTGGACATATATACTGTCAGAATTGTATTATGATTAGCTTTGAGTCTTTTAAAATGATTTTTCAATATCACAGTTCCAGAGCAAGGGCTGATTTTATTTGTCTTTTTTGATATTTCTTCTTGTGACAAATTTAGAATACAGTGCTTTATATGTGTGTTTTTGGTAGCAGGGAATCAGAATGGTTGAATAGAGCCTGATTTGGGGAGGGGTGCTTTTGCTGTCTTTTTTTTTTTTTAATGAAATAAAGCAAAACCTGGAAAACCTTTGCTTAGAATAGATTCTAGTGTATCTTCCTCAAACCCTGATCCAGCTATGAGACCAGATTAAGGTTTAAGAACTGTTTGCTAAGCAGCTCATGCATTGCAGGTTACTTGGTAGAATATCTTTTCTCTGCAGTGATTTTCAGTAGAATTTGGTATTTCAGCCAACTAAAGATTGTTTAGGAAGAGGTCAGAGAACCACTACAACACTGAAGCTCTTCTCTCTTTTTCTCATCTCATTTTCATTATTGAATGTGAGCAATAGTGCAATGCTAGAAGTCTGCTTTGTCCTAGACTAGTAGTTTTTACATTTCTTAAGTCCACCTTTTAACAGAAATTTTGAATGAAATCAGTGTATGTTCTGAGTCTTAGCAGCTGCCTCCCTTCATTGCTGTTGCCCCCTTGGCAATATTCAAAGCGAAAATAGAATTTTTCATAATAATCTTCTAAATAAAATAAAGGCATGAGTTGGAGAGCAATATGTAAGAAGAAAGTAGACTATTCTGACAGTCTAGATGGTCTTAAAAGGCAAACCTGTAGGTATCTTTAACCCAGTTTGGTCTCCTAGGTTTTAAGTGATACAGGATTATAAATTATAAAAGTCGTGATCGTATAATGTGTTTTGACTTCTAGACTACACCTAAATATAGTACATGTCTTGAGCCTCATAACAAATGTTTAAGAAAGTCTCAACTTCCATTGCACATGCCTACCCCTTGACTTTTATAGATTCAAACAAAAACAAGTCCAGTGAGATTAAACACCATGTCTTAAGACACAGAGATAATTCGTGATGGACAGATATTTAGAACTTGTGTTACTCAACTTCCAGCTGAGAAAAAAAAAAGAGCATAGTTTTGATCTGGGGACTGTAAGACAATGGCTGTGTAAATCCTTTCTGTAGCCTAGTGAAAAACTGCCTTAATGCCATTTCCTTCCCAAGCCTTTAAGGAAGGACACATTTTTTACCTTAGAATTTCTGAGCAAGTTTGCTCTTTCTCTCTCACATACATACAGTTAATGATTGTAACCAAGCTCACTATAAGAAATTCCTGTTTGGAGGAATCATATTTAATATGTATATAATGTAATGATTCACCCCCGGTATGTTCATTTTACTCATTCTATTTTTATGTTTTCTTGATATGAAACATCCCACAGTTAATATGTATTCACTGCCAGTCTGAAGTGTATATTAGGAGTCATGGGAAAAAAGGAGGTGAAAACATAAGACACATTGCTTCCCAGAAGATTCATAAGAACCCTGGTGCCAGTGAGATGGCTCAATGAGTAAGAGCATCTGCTCCCAAATATGACAGTCTGAGTTCCAGCCCCAGGATCCACATGTTAGAAGGTGGGAATCAAGCCATGCAATTTGGAATCTGGCATGCATGTATCTGCCATGATGCATGCACACATGTGCACTAAGCCTGTATTATAGCTCTATGCTTATAAATTAGTATCTCTGAACCTCAGATTTCTTTACTTGAAAATGAAGGTAAGGATATAGCCAAACTCCACAAGGTAGCTCCCTGGATTCTGGCACACACACACCCACAAATATCAGTGATTCCGTGTGTGATATAGGGATGGCTTATTGAAAAGAAACATATGTGGAAGTAGGTCTTTATTAGCCAGCTAACAAAGATCAGGAGGAAGGGTGAAGTTTTGGGCAAGAAGAAAAGAAAGAATGGAGAAAGAATAGAAAGCCATGGTGAGAATGAGTTGGGCTGGCTGAGGACAGGGGACCATACCAAGGATTGAGGAGAGAGGTTAATGTATAGAAGTAGAGTGTGTTGAATGTCTTTGAATGGCATAATGAAGAGTACACTTTTGTTTGTTTTAAAGCTAATTGAGATCCAATATATATTGTTTTAGTATAGGCGTGATACCATGAAAGCACTCCATGAGAAAAATTATTCTTGATAGTATATTTTATTCTGGAAGCATCTACTTATGTACTTTGGTTCCTTGAAGATATATCCAGTTCATTTGGAGTAGTTGGTAAAATCAGAACTCTTCATTTTTTTTTTTGCTGCAACCTGTAGTTTTGGGTCTGTATTGCCAAGTCTTATGCTTTAGCCGCTGGCACAATCAGCTTAACCACTTACATATACATTTGGATTCACTCCACAATAGGTCATTCATGGACAAAAATATGTTAATGGAATTTCTAATATAAAGTCTAACTAATGACGAATGTTCAGAGGATGAGAGAAAAGGTTTTGTAGACAGGCAGGAGTGAGATGGTTGTGGATCTGAGGACA